GTAGATTCATCGGATTGAAGGCCGTGTGTCACGGACAACAGTCGAAGAAAGACTGAGGCAGAAAGTTTAGTTACACGTAGCGACCACCGTCAAGAACCAACGAGCAGCGCATGCGTGGGGATGTACTGGAACGTTCGACGTACAGACTTCGTCTCTCCCCCCTACTTGTTTTTCACGTTTTGGACCATTGACGCAGGCCCTCAGGGGACTTACATTCCATTCTAACGCGGAAGTGTAAAAAGATGTTGGCTACTTTATTCGAGACAAGAATCCAGTGTTTGGTGATTCAGATATAAGTCGATTTAAGATCCCAGTTGAGTTCCTCTTGAATCACTCTCATTTCGCCTGAGTTAGCAAACGAGAAACAAATGAATTATTAGAGAAAAAATTTAAAACTTAAGCTTGTGTATTTGTAGTGATGGTTAATTATGGAAATTACGTATATTGATAAGAGATTTGAGGTTCTCGCAGCTGTGAAGATAACCATGTTGGTCTTATGGGGACATGTCCACAACGCCTTACGTAAATTGGATGACATTGAACCCAAGATTTTATTTGTGAATAAGAACAAAATATACGAGGTAATTTCATGAAAATATCATACAATTATTCTTTCATTAAATGACGTAAGGACAGTGGTGTTATTTAAAATATTATTTTATATATCAAGTACGGTTTGATCCGTTCGTCTTATTAAACGCTAAAGATGATTATCTTCTGCGCTGTTTCGCCATGTTGCCTCGTAGAATTTTACCGACGTTTCGAAGGTGCTTCCTGCCTTAATAATCAGATTAACTGCCCTGATATTAACAGTCATCTTCATACTCACAGCCGTGAGAACTTTAAATCTCACTTTTTACATATTACTCAGATGAAATGAACTTATTAGCGTCATACGATTTATCTAGGCTCACGAGTGGACAAGCATTGGTTCGTGGTTAACGACACGTCCATGAAGACAGAGCGACTTCTGACTCTGGTACCTCTGAGTCCCAACTGCGCGATTGAATGCAACGCCAACACAAGAAGCACTATCCTAGAACTGTTCCTGGCGCTCCAGCATCCCTACATTTATCCCGTCCTGGACCTGGACTTTCGTGACGTATCCGGACAGACCTACGTCATCCTGGTTCTACCTTTTAACAACAGAGGGAGTCTCAAGGATCTCATCTACAAAGTAAGGAATCCTTTGTATGTTACCCTCCTGTTTTATATAAACCATAATTAAATTAAATAGCTTGATTTTATTAATTTTTTGGTATCTGTCAACACCGAAGGCATTAATATTTTGGAAAAAAACAAATGAAAATAAAAATAAAATAAATACTCAATTAAAATTAATAATATCAATAATAGAATAAATTAATAAAAATATAATACCGTATTAGACGTGAAATCGGCTAACAGAGGCCTCTTTATAAAATTGTGAATAGATTTTCAGTAAATAGCACATTTTGACAAATAAATTTTATTCGGAATATTAATTTACATTTCCTCTTACCGCCCTATTATTTATAGACTAATGTTGATTTATTATTTAATATAACCGTGGTTCTTTTGTGATTACTTTCGTCCGAATTCTAATAAATTTACGTAAGTAGCTAGTGTTTACATGTTACATTTTTTTGTTTTCTGTTATTATAATTGAAATGAACTTAATTTAAAACCATTTATACTGTTACTATTGCCTAGTAGTAGTAATTTAATTATTGGAAATGTCTGTTTATTTTATGTTTTATTAACAGTTAAATAGGCTACCGTAAAGTGTGACTTATAAAGGCCACATTTTCACACTCCTTTTTTCGGTAGACTATTGCTTCTTTGCGTTATAGGTGTGCTTTGGTTCTACTTAAAACAGGACGACAGCATTTTTTAAAGGTCATGTTGAAAGCTTGTCCTGTTTCTCCTGTTATTTCCATGGCTTATCTACATTAACCCTTCAAAGCCAAAGCTCGTCAAAATAATATTTAATAATTCAATCCATATCGCTAAGAATACACAACATTTAAACAATTACAAATATCAGCTGGTTAATGCTGTTTAAGGAAATAATCGCTGTTTTCAGGTAGAGACGTAGAAAATCTATCAATAAAAACGAATATTTACTAACTTTTAAAGCTGTCGGTTTCCAGTGAACATTTTTCAAGGTCAGGAAAATATATTTTAAAAATATTAGGCTTATCTTACGAATTATCGTGTTAAATATTAACAGGCGGTTAGACTGATGACTCAGTAATTTTCACAGTAAATTCTATGTCTGTTGTCTTGAAATGTGGGTAACTGTGGTCCCGTATCTTGAGTAAGCTCATATTTCCAGCATATATTATATACTCATTTAATTATGTCGATAAAACAGTTTCCTTCATTAGCTCGATTTTAACATTTTTTCTGGACCAATCTAAATTTTAACCACAGTAATATTTTCATCATCTTTTTCTGTGATTAAATCTTTATTTTTATCTGTATGTTTATTATCTTTTCTTTGATCCATATTCCAATAATTTAAAATTAATATTGTGTTTTACTTTTGATATAGCTTCTGTGCTATTTATTTTCTTCATTCTTTATAAACCATGTTATCTCTGAAGACCCAAGATTGTCTCGTGTTCAGTAAATTTCAATAACGTTTTCGGCTAATTAATTTTATTTATAGGTTTATCAGAGTTAATAAGTCAAAGGCATCATGCCAGAAGGGTGTATCAACAAAATTGCTGATTAAAACGATTCTAAATTCTTCCGATTATCTGGTTTCACAGATGATATTTATTAGTGATCATACGCCCTTTGTAACTTTAATAGAGATGACATGATTAAAACTTTCCTGATTTCGGTTCTTACACATCTAAGTGACTATTTTAAATCGCTTTCGTCAAATTCAGGTCACCTAACTTATCCATTCTTTAATCTCGCCTTAGAAATAACACCACGTTAATACCCCAGAGACAAACTTCCTGCCATCTGACAAGTTCCGGCGACATGATCCAGTCACATATAAATACAGGGTTATTCATAATTCCCTGAAACATTACAAAAAATCGCTAGACTTCAATGGTGCAATGGATGGTAATATAGGACGTGCCGATAGAAAGAGAAACTCTCCAAGTTTATTTTACATACCTCATAAATTCTCAATAACCTTGCGATACTTCGTTGGCCACCCCGATCACCTGACCTGACGCCATGTGATCTCTTCTTGTGAGGGGGTACAGCCTCTGCCACGGGATCTGGCTGATTTATCGCTGCCATCTCACAAATCGATCGTGACATGCCGCAGCTGGTGTGGTCGAAAATGGATTATCGACTTGACGTCAGCCACGTCACATAGAGCGTCTATGAGGTATGTAAAATAAACTTGGAGAGTTTCTCTTTCTATCGGCATGTCCTAAGTTACCATTCATTGCACCATTGAAGTCTAGCGATTTTTTGTAATGTTTCAGGGAATTATGAATAACCCTGTATAATTAGAGCTGAGAGAGTTTGTTAATTTCACAGAGTCGATGGCAAGATGACTGGAGTCAGAAATATGGACAGCGTAGTGCGGGGCTGCCTGTCTCTCAGGTGCAGCGTTTAGGGCGGCAGATACTAGAGGCGCTGGTGTTCCTCAAAAACCGTGGCTTCCCGCCGTGTAGTCATCTCCATTCCGGAAACATCATACTACAGAACGGAGTCGCCAGGTAATCCCATCTGTCGTGTACAGCTTGATTCTTAACAGATTCATATTAACTACACCTCATTTAGTAACATTTAATTTCCAAGATTCTTCACTCTGCTGAATCGTGTTCGATTAATAAAGCGATTGTTTAGATGATATTTTTATTAACATCTTTGTAATAACGAACATGCCAGTTATAGATTCTGTACAAATGAACGGTAGATTTTTCTATGATAGTGAAATACCCATAAATTTAAGATTATCTAAAGCAGTTTTCGGCAACATTTACATTTCTGAAGGCCACATTGGTTAATCGTATCTTTGTCCAAAGGACATAGAAGAAAAGTAATGTCTGAGTAGGTTAATATGTGTTTTAACTTAAAGAACGTGGCTGGTATCCACTTTGAAACAGAATTCGTACAAGACTTTATCTTTCAGACAGTTTAGATTTGAATTCATTCATAATTTTATAAAAATTCATACTGTTTAGTTAGTTATATATTATTTTAACAACAAAACAATGTACTTTTGCGAAATTACGCTATTTTAACATCACAGTCCTACATTTACAAAAATGTTATCTGTTTAATTAATTCAGACGAAATAATTCAACCACGCAAGTCTAAGTTGTCTACAGACGTACGGAGACATGAACGCAAGAAGGATCTTGCTTAGATTTCAGTTTCTCATGGCTGTCATCTGATATGTTAGACGTTTACCGACGTTTCAGAGGCATTACCCTTGCGATGACAGTAAGAATCTCAGTAACATCGGCCAATTTCTACCAGACTATAATACGCAGACAGCCATCTTCATTTCCAGTGCATTATTCCCTAATCATTTTACCACCCGACGCAAGAAACTGAGTTATTATCAGCGCTGATAAATAAACCATAAACAATCCTGGGGTCTCGGGTTCGATTCCCGGCGGTGCCCGAATTTATAACTTGTGTTGGGCAAGGCCGTGGTCTAGGCAACACGGAGTTTTCCTCCGTGGCATCCCAACAATTACTCCATTCACACAAAGAAGAAGGCAATGGCAAACCACTTATGGATCATCTGCCAAGAACGTATATGAACAAGTCCCAGTCCGAGAAAAGGATTGGCATCCCAACAATTACTCCATTCACACACAGAAGAAGGCTATGGCAAACCACTTTTGGATCATCTGCCAAGAACGTATATGAACAGGTCCCAGTCCGAGAAAAGGATGGAAGGATCCTGTTCATATGGACCTGTCGTCAGACAGAACACTAAATAAATAAAATAAACATAACAGCTGTTGACATCTCGTTCATTTGTTTCAGGCTGGCAGGGCTAGAGAATACGTTGCTAGGACACACATCACGAGTCCACCCGATAATATGGAGTCGAGCCAAGAACGAACCGCCTTCAGTAGACACAATATGCTTTGGTAAAATTTCAAATATTTTTAAACAAACCTGCCAAGAACTTAAACCGATAATCGATTTGACTGACGGGAGTTTTGGGATTTGCTACTCGTATCATGTTACGTTATATTACGTCAAGCAGGAAAAGATAAATAATCATATTACGCGTACTTAATAGACGTAACTCTGACTTATCTCCCCAGGGCACGTGCTGTTTGAGATGTGTGCTGGCTACGAATTGTGCACGCCACAACCAAGCCAGGGGCATCTTCTTGACCTCAAGAATTACCCTCAGGTCAGTTTTTCATTAAAATAAATACTGAAAGTCTCATCTTATATGAAATACCGATTTTTCATTATCACGTTAACAAGAGTCCACCCTATCTCGAACCAACTTAATCTAATCCACACTATAATTTCTTATTTCTGTGATTTTTAATATTATCCTTTTATATATATCTTCGTACCCTACGTTGATTTATTTTTTAAAATTGTTTTTCCAAAATCTTTGATGTTGATATCCATTTTAAAAGAATTTTGACAAAGTTTGCGTATTATTAAATGACGTACTATCATATATATTTTCAATCTTGAATTTTGAAGCCATAGACTATATTAAATCGAAAGTTTACACACACATAATGGTACAATACTTAAAGCTGGGGATTTGACATAAAAGACTCCACGGTTCGTATTGATTTTCGTGAGAAGTGGGCGATTTGTAGAATAATTAAGCTTGTGTTTTGCAAACGTGAAAACAGCACAGTGGTTTCCACCTTGACAGACTTAGTAAAAATGTCGCTACGTGCGCTGATCGGTTGTTTGGGTGGGGAAGGGTTGAGGAGGGGAAAGAGACTCAGCTCCTATTTGTTCTTGATCTTGGCACCAGATGGTGTCAGTGTTCAGCGCTTTATGCCTGGGAAATTCCCAGTACCCACTAGACGATGAGGTTACGTACTGGGATGAAAAGTCGCTCGAACTTGTCCACAGATCACGAGAAAAACCCTGCAAGGGGAAGTCGTTTCTGGTGCGGTGCGGGGGGGATGTTACTTATCAGCTGGACTAGAGGGCTGCTATTGGTGGGAAGTGTGATACGTCACAGTTTTACGCTACTAAACACAGACTGAAAACATCAAGCAGTTGAGAGTAGCGTGTAGTGAGTGCACCTCTAATGTGTTCTGTGGGTGTTGCGATAATATTCTAGATTAAATCGCTGTGCCTCTGTGAGCTAATCTTAAAGCTATAGCCATTAGAACACATGCAAGCCTGCCGTCTGTTGTTCGTTCAGTGGTTGTGGAATGTATGCTTTTAGTATCGGTCGTCACTCACGGCGAAATCTTGCGCATGCGCGTATAACGAATTCCTAGCAGGGATTTTCTCCTGGTCTGTGGACCGTACTGGTTATCAAACCTGAGTTATCCACTGTAGAGGTCGCTGGAGTAGCGGTGTCACGCGATGTGTAAGCCGAGAGAGGGGAGTTCGGTAGTAGTGGGGGTCGCATAGCCGCAGCTGCGGTGACGCGCCGAACTAAACACAGCGAGAGCTACAAAACAACTGAAGGTTACACCCCTCTAGCGCGTGTTTAGGACGAGTCCATCTCACGCGACGAAAATCAGTCCTTTGCGCAAGCGCGAGCACTATTCGCTCGGCCTCTACGCTAGATCACTGAATGACTGTACTTTTCTAATCCTGCAGGTAGTTGAGGTACTGGATTTCATCTTCCGTCACCCTGAGCGACGTTTTCCTTCTGTGGAGGAGTTACTCTTATGTGATTTCTTCCGCAACATTGATCTCAGAGAGATGAGGGCTGCACCCTTACCGGTAGAAACTTATTAAATATTTATAAAATGAACATAATTTGTAACCCTGAAAGTTATTTTATATTTTTTATATTCAAATGTGAACACTGTTTAAGGTCAACATTGATTTATTTATTTACTTTTTTTCAAATGTGGTTTAAGAAAATCTCGAATGTTCCTGCCACAATTTTGCTATGCAGAAAAGACAAAAGACTGTGGATAACCACGAAGAGCGCAGAGATTATAGTGAATAAATAAGCTGAGATTTTAAACAATTACTAAGTCAAGTACTTCGCTGTTTACCAAGGTCTTAGTGCATTGCTCTCGCATACGAAAATACCCACAAAATTATCAGTAACTGGATCTAAATTGATAAAATTTGGCAAATGTAATTGTCATTATCCTTCAAATTACGTAAGTTATTTCTGTTCTTAAATTTGACCTAAAGCTACTTATTATTTCCTTCACAGTCTCATAGTTTTTCAATCAACTCTTTTAAATTTATTGATAATTTTCAGCGTAAATTAATATTTTAGTATGATAATAGGATTTGAGACTTTCACGACGAGTGCAATCAATAAACCCTTCTCTGGCAATCAGCAGCGTCAGATGGTTACCGTAGTAAACCGACGTTTCGGGAACCAACTCAGTCCCCATCATCAGGGTTCTGATGTGATTGGATACCTCGAACATCGTCTGTAATATGTGTTTTCAAATTTAAACTCAATGCCACGTTTATAACAGAAAGACAACTAAATTAATTTAAATTAAAACTTGTTTAAAGTATTAGGAGATGCTAGAGTGAGATTTTTCTCAGAAGTACTTTGGAATTAGAAAATATACGTAAATGCGAGATTTATTTTCGTGTTTAAGTACGAAATTTAAACTCCATTTAGGAAGATAACTTCTCTTGTAAATATATTTACGATTTATATGGGCCGTTTGCAGAAAATAACTAATCCATTCTTTTTTTTTTTAGCAAGCATTTCAGACACGATTAACTACGTCAACAATGAGCCTTCTAAATGAGGTGAAACAACATCAGAATGAAAGTAGGTACGTATGAAACTTCAGCCTTGCTCAAAATGGAATTCGTAAAATATGACCTGGCACTCAAAATTGGTGAGACCATCTCCCAGATATTTTTATCCGCAAAACGTTTATAACCTGAAATATTTGAACATTAAATATCACTTGTAACGGAAGCTTAGTCTAACAGAGACTTCGTCCCAGGCTTTGTGATATGTTAGTATGCGAGTAGTGTGTCACCAGTCCACTGACTGCAAAATTTCCACTCAGATCCTGATCTGACTACTAGAGTCATCTAGTGGTGAATCAGGAGAGACTTGGGCACGAAATGGCCGCTGAATTTTGTTTACGAAACATCTCGTAAGTTTCTTTTACACGCCGTAAATCTACGACATGGGATCACCAGCTCTGAAGGAAGTTGTAATACGAATTTTTATCATCATTAAAAATCCATAGACCTAGCCCGGGTTTGAACCCGTGTTAAAATATATAGAAAAGTGAAATATCACTACTATTAACACTATTAACTGAATAAAAAATACTTTTCGCGTATCGCTAGGGATAATTCTTTGACAAAATGATATTAGAATTTCTAAAACTTCTCTGATTACATTTTTCAGGGGACGAAGGACAAACTCGGTTTCTTCTGCGACAGAAGATGTTTCTCCAAATATGAAGGAACGTAGGTAAGTAATTTGAGTGTGATATCAGAAATAACAAACTTAAGTCAGAAGAACAGATACTTACTCAAGCTCATTTTCCAATTGAAGAGTTTAGTTCAAAAATCCGATCAATCCATTTCTCAAAATTTTGGGAAAATGTACTTTTTTGACGTAAGATACTGAATTTATTTAGAAAAAACACAGAAAAATAAAGACTACGCTAGTTTTGGAACTGTACCCTTGAATTACTATTGTTTTATCCCACAAGACGAAAATGGTACAGAGATATAATATCTACAGCTCATACACATTCATAAAATTCGCTTTATAGATAAATACATAAAAATAACATTGATATCCATTCTTAAAATATTTCATAAGACGTACCTTGAATCCAAGTTAAATTGAAAATATTTACAGTAATGTTTGACATATCTAATTGAACTTTTATTATTTGTAAAACAAAATTGGTTTTATAACCTATTCGCGAGCGTAATACCTTAAGATGAACCCAACAAATATTAATGTTATTCAATTCAAAACATTTGTAACTTTCACACAGAAAGTTAATAACTTCCACAATTTAATTGCATTATTCATAGTTGCTTTTTTGAGTAAGAAAATATTTTTACGTATAGGTTAACCCTTTGCGGTCCCATTTAAATACCACTAAGCTATGCAAATTCAACTACTATTAAAAAGTGTTTTGATTTTCTTTTATAACTTGCATAAAACGGAAGAAACTTTGCTAAATACGGTAAAAATATGTTCTGAGAGGATCACAGTTCCTTTTGTTTGAACACTGACCCTGTGAAATATTTTTCACGGACTGTACCACTGTCTCCAGTGAGATGCGTAATAAATCGTGCCTCTCTGCGTCCTGTCGTTCGGTAGAGAATAAAGCAGGTCTACGTCGACAGATCGGACTTTGGCGACGTCTAAACATCTCTTACTGCGTGCAGATACACGATGTATAAACCACGGATTTCATAATCTCAGAACTAGGCTTCCTTTCGAGCTCTTTGTGTTCGTAA